TAAAGCAAGCAGACAAAATCATTTAAACCAATATAGTAGAAAAGTTCAATGACCACCACACAGAGCCTGAGCAAAAAAGGGTGGGTGGACCCAACCGAGATTTCTTAGCTCAGTTTTTCTCAAAGTACAGTTAATCAGAAAGTAGAACATTAGCATGGCTTGGAAGGTCCTTGCTCAGACCACCCCAAAGCTACTAAATCAAAATGTAAGGTTGGTGTGGGGAGCAGCAAGCTGTGTTTTAATAAGCCCTCCAGGTGACTCTGATGCCCTCTAGAGTTTGAGACCTACTACCTTAGTTAATGCCCCAATCACTTAAGGAAAAAAAAAAAGGGGGGGGGGGTTGTTAGAGATGAATTTCCCAAACAKGAAATTTAGTATGTATAAGTAAAGTATACAGTTCACACCTGCATAAGTACTAGGAACTTTGCTAATTTTCCACAATGAGTAGTTTTTCCTCTGTGAGCTAAAAACACTGTAAGGCAAAGAAGAGCAAGTCAGTGGCCAATAGAATGGCTTCCTAATTTAGGATTATTTCTCAACAGTAAAATCTCAAGACATTCCAAACATGAAGAAGATATTCTACTACTCAGAGGCGGCTACACAACCAATGGATCTCTTTCTCATTTTCTCCAGACTCCTCCCTGTTGACCAACATGGAGCATTTATGGGCTGTCCAGATACAGTTACAGGATCTCTGGACAGTCCTCTGAGTCAAGCTGATTGACCAGGCTCAGGATGCAACCCTTGACCTGGGCCTAATTTAGCCGCCTAAGGAACTAAGCTAAATCATCCTCAGATCAAATTTTACACATAACACCGATCTAAGAAACTAAGAAAAATCACCCTGAGATCAAATTTTACCTGTAAGGCTCGATGACTATGGTATGTTCTCTCTCATAGCCATCAYCACGAAGCAAATGATACAAACGTTTGATGCAAGAAACACCCAACCAACAGGAAAAATCGAAAAGAAATGAAGCAATGTTAATATGCCATTGATAATCCAACTTAGATCCATAACCACTCTATGGCACAAAAATCTACTTACCTTTTATCCTCAGCTACGTTAAGCCTTTCATCTATAACCACTGCATCATCATATCCTTTAATTCAGATTCATAAATCATTCYGAAATAATGTATTTTTAAAATCAGTGAATGCAAGGTATGGTAAAAGTACTCTGACCAAAAATCCTAGTCAGACTTGCATTTTTCTAGGCTTTCTCCTCCTGACCTCTCCAAGGGGTAGGGTACCTACACATGGCCTCCTGGAATGTGAGAGATTTAACCAATTATTTGCCATAACAATACATTCTGCTTCAAGAAAACAGACTGCACACCTGCCCTATAGTCCCTATGTGAGTAGTCCCTTTCTTCTAAAACTCCCTCCTGCTGGGAAACTGATACGAAGATCAGTGAGTTAATGTTTGTCAAATACTTTAGGCTTCTCAGATAAAAGACAACAACAAAATTCAAATGACCTGTGCAGCTGGCATTACACTAGGTGTTATAGTTGACTCTGTATTCAGGCTTCAAAGAAGAAAATTGAGGCTGCCAAGAAACTCCTTTGTGAAAACTGGCCGGCTTTTGCACTCCCGCTAAAGGCAGGCAGTTATTCTAGCATTCTGTAATTAACTGGATTTCAACATTAGAGATGCAAAGACCCTTGCATAATACATTGGACCTTTGTTATAGTAAGGGGTATACAGGGAAAAAGAATCTTTTTCTCTGCCCTTTCTCCCTAAGTGGCTCTAGCTCCCTAAACTTTTACTGCCTGGTGGTGTAGCTCTCAACCTCCTCTAGTGTGAGGGACCACATGGCAGCTGCTAGCCAATGTGTTTGCTTTGAGCCAATAGACTGGAAAAAAAAAAAAAAAAAGTCAAAGACAAAGCTTTATGTGTATGTTGGCACGCATGTGGATTCAGGCTGCTGAATAACAAACAAAGAACACATTCATGGCCACATACAACTCCTTGAACATATAAATAGCCATCCTTGACCTAGTCTGTCTGAGGTGCTGTTATATAGCATTACACTGAATTCTCCATAAATATCATGGCAAGCTAAATACTACTGGCTCTGTCTTGCATGTGAAGAAACTGAATATCAGAAAGATTAAGTCTGCCCAACATCACACAGCTAGAATGTGGCAGAGCTGGAATTCAAACCTGGCTCTATAGCAAACTCCCAAATCTGGATCATGGCTCCAGTACACTGATAGCCTGGAAAGGGGTGCAGATTTTGCCAGACACACCCCTGGGACAACTCAACAAAGCCTCCTGGGGAGACAGGCAAAGTAAATTAAATCAATTTAAATCAGTAAGGGGGCAATCAGAAAGTTTTAGACATCAACTTCCTCCCTAYCAAAGCTTTTGTGTTTGTTTTCCCTCATTCCTTAATTGGCTAATTAAGTGTTTCATCCTCTTCCCTGTCTTATATCTAACAAAGTGCATAGCAGTGTTCTGAGGCTGAGAATGAATTTTTTTAAATACAGTACTTGGTGACCATTTAATGAAGTTCAAATGCAGGGATTTGATCAAATTCTTATTCAAAAGGACAAGAATATGGAACTCAGGTAAGCTATCATGTGTAATCAAAGGGTTGATACTTGCATCCCTGGAGCAAACTTAAGCCAGAAAGCAGACAATAAAGAAAAAAAAAAAAAAAAAACTTCACAGTTCTTAAATCTTGTTCCATCCATTCAGGGCAAGCAAGAAATCGTCTAAAAATTCTRATTTTCCTCTGAATTATTTATGGTTTTTCCATATCAAAATAGTTTTCCCCAACTGTTCTTGCTATTGTAGTTGTGCATGCAACGTAGTTTGTACAAATCTGAATAACTAGTGTTAATAACAATTATGTTTGTAATAATGGAACCTGGGCGGTGATCTTGGATTAGCTGAAAGGGCTTCTCCTTAGCCCCTTCTCTCACACAGGTGTTACGCCTTCAGGAAAACCATCAAGGGGGCTGTTCTTGAGATAAGACAAGGTGCTGGTAGAGGGCCTGGATAAACATGTGAAGTTGTAGGAAGCTAGTGTGCTCTTCCCACTCTGATGTACTCTCTGAGGTTGCTGAAAGCTAGACGTCTGCCACCTTAGCCAAGACTCAGCCACTATGAATACTACTACAACACCACTTCAACCCAAGTGAAGAGGCACTGCAGAAAGACAAGCCTGTACAAAATGCTATTATGCTATAAGGAAATTTTCTAGGCAGGATGTACTGAATTCTGGGTCCATGAGGCTACAACCACCTGCAGGAAGAGTTCAGTCTTAAGTTTCAGAGAAAGCAATGGTAGTCCTCACCCCTCTGGTAACACAATAAAGTTGAGTTTTTAAAGYAGAGAATACTACGATGAACAGCATCACATAAGTGAACTAATTCTGCACATCATGACCATCCATTCAGATTAGGCAACAGGACATCATTCAGCTCCGAGCTGTGAAAGTTGTCATTTCTATAGCACAAGCTGTTAACCACATCACCAAATAATAAGGTAACTTTTAATACAAGGTCGGTAGCACTGCCGTATTGTCATCCCCTATTGCTGTCAGATGTCTCTTTAAAAGGAATCAATATCATTTTAATGAACCAGACATGGGTCAATTAATGTCAATTAAAATGGGGACCGATGCTGGTGGTAGAAATGYATCAGGTACAGAGGCATTTCCAAAGAGGAATTTTTGCTCCTCTGAAAGCTACCAGTAATTCCCATAAGTATGTAACGCTTCTAGTTTAATTTCTAGTATAAGGAAAGGAGGAGAGACTGCTATGCCAGCAACATTGCCCCAACCCACCCATAAATCTTCCTYGGGTCCCAGACAGCTAGGAATGACTTTTCTATTCTCTTTGGGTTCACTTCTCATTAACTGTTTCCTCTACAAGGAGTGTTTGCTCTAAACACTCCACCAAGAGAGGACCTCTTCAGCCCCAGGACCAAGCCTCCCCCCAGAACCCCTCTGCCACCACACAGTAGTTCTCCAACAGTCTACAGGGCTGCAGACTCCTGTACTGTGATCTTGTTCTAGCAGCGTAGAAGCTCTGATACTCGGTTTGATGAATGAATGACTGAACTGACCTAATCCATTTCACAAATTAACACACTGGTGGAAACTCCATAAGCATACACGCTAGACCTGCAGTCTAGAGATTCCTCACCTTCGCTGGGAATCCCAAACAGCCAGTTCCTCAACAGGCTGGAGTTGAAAACCTACAATCTCCTTAAATTGTAGGTAGGTATGGGGGTGGGGGTGACAGGAACTGAAGGAAGTGTGAGGGAAAGGGAGGTAAGGACAAGGCTGCCTCATTGCTCTCTCCAGAAGAAAAGGTAGAAAACCCACAAGTATTCAAAACCTAGGTTTAAGAGTCACGTGGGAGAGGGGGTTGTTAAGACGCAGAATTTTGGAAGTCAGAGCTGGTCTGAAAGTACGTGGCCACAGGTTTTTCCCTATGAGCCTGCCCGACCACCCAAGTAGGAGCCAAGACACTCGGGAGTTCGGTGGCACGGCTGGGGCCTAGTGGAATGGCATGAAAACTCCTCTCCCTTCCAAATCCCATCCTATGCGGGGACCTGAAGGGGAGTCGGGGAACTGCATTCCCCGCGTGGGCGACAGCAGCGTCGTTTGTCTCTTATCCTCCTGGCCCCAMGGTCTAGCTATCTCTGGCAGCCCTTGGCCGGCCCTCTCACGTCCCCAAAATGCAGACGGGATCTGAGAGGAGGGGGCGAGGGAGTTGGGTTTAGCCACAAACTCTGCAAACTTCCCTTACCTTCCAGCTCACGTCCCAAATAAGCGGTGCGCCCCGTGGCCCGCAGCTCCCACCGGGAAAGAAAACGCGCGGCCCGGCCACCCTGCGCCCCCGCTGCCCTGCCTGCCAGGCGTCGGAGACCGCCAATCTCAAGTTGGTGTTGCCAGCGTTTGCCCAAGTCATCTGCAAGGCGCCCGGAGCACCAAGGCTACCCGCGACCTCGGCCCGATTTCCCCGCCTCGGGTCGGGCTTACCTGCTTACATGACCCCGCGGTGCCCGGAGTCCCGCGCGGAAAGGCTGTCCTCCGCGGCGACGGAGCCCCAATTCCCCACGGAATTGATTCCAGTGGCTGGCGGAGGAGGGGAGGAGGGAAGCAGCCGCAGGAGGCGAAAGGGGAGGGAGGTTTCCGCTGAGGTCCGGACGCGAGAGTCGGCTCAGGGGCGCACCGGCGAAGGGGAAAGGGAGAAGAACCTGAGTACCCGGGCTGTCCCGCCCGAGGGGACCGGGATCAGGAGGCCAAGGAGGATGGGTGAGGTGGGAGGGGAAGGACCGCCAGCGGCCACTTTGTGTGTGCTGCTCCCAGAGGACCTGCCCAGGARAGGAGGCAGCCGAGACCGGAGGAGCGCAGCAACCTGCCCCCGATACTGCGCCCGCTCGGCCGAGAAAAAGTTGGGAAGAACTTTGAGGGGCCGGGAGAGCCAGAGCGGCAGGAAATGCGAGCAGCCGGGAGAGGAGGGAGGAAGGGGCCGTTCGAGTGGGAGGGGACGGAGCAGGCGCCGGCGGCCGTGGCTCCCCCACCCCCGGGCCGGGCTCAGCGGCGCTGGGGGCCGGGAGGCGGAGGGAGCGCGAGGCGCGTGGCCGAGGCGGAGAGGAATGCGGACGGCGAGGACGCGCATCGGGGGCGCGGGCGCGCGCGGGGGAAGCGCTGAAACGTGGAGCCCAAGCTCCGGAGCTGGAGGCGCGCTGTCCTTGGGGACGTCACAGCGCTGGAATCCAAGGAATGCCGGGCTGCAGGAGTTCTTTCTGCAGGCCCGGGAGAAGTTGCTTACTTTTGATGGGGTAGCTTTGGAAAATGTTTCCAAAGGTGGGGACTGAAGACAAGATGAGACTCCGTGGAGTAAGAGACGTGGGAGGGGAGAAGGCAAGGAGACCGTAGTCAGCCCAACTCTGCGCTGTTCCGGCGGTTTGAGGGAAAGCGGTAAAGACAGGAAGATCCCACCTAGATTTCGTAGACAGCAAGAGCAGGAAGGTGGTAAGAACTAGCCCACTCAGACCCGGAGCAACGACAGTCCAACTTATTTTGGGAGATCCTCCAAGCAGGATGCACCCATGCAGCCACAGCACAGGGGAGGGCAGTCCTGGAGAAATTTAGGTGGCCTCACTGAGCAGGCAGTCCCAGAGATCTCTCCTAAATAAAACTGGAACCTCTGGGTAGTGTGTGTCTTTCTTCTATCTTTCCCTCCACCCCCGTAATGGCCAAAGCAGACTGTGCTGAAAGTTGGAATATGTCGTTTTCCCGGTTTGTTCCATGCCACAGAATCGCCCCACCCTGCCCGGGTAGGCACTGGGAGGGAACTTCCTTAGCACTTTCGGAGGTGGAGTTAATGAGGCGCAGCTGGTATGATGGAAAAAGCACCGAGCCAGGCAGGGAACCTAGGTTTAGGCCCTTCCCAACTTGTGACGGATAACTGAGGAGTATCCCAACCCCCGAGATCCTTGGTTTCTGTAATTATAAAGTTGAAGGGGTTGCCTATATTTCTGTGGTCCTTTGCATTGCTCCAAACATGTCTGGGCAGCTGTTATCTCACCAGGACTCCAGCCCAGTCCTTTCAACTTTTCAAGGACCTCCTTGTCACAGAAGATACTGTATCAAATTACTTTCCAACAACTCCTACAATTCCAGGCCTTTTGGGAAAGAGAACGGGGAACCAAAAGGCAAAGCCTACCTGTACCCACCATGTGTAAATCTGTAATGACCTCGACTTCTCTGACCATTGGCCAATGTCCAGAATTTTAAAGAAGTCGAGAAGAATAGAGGGGCCATAAAAATGATGGAAGGAAAAGGGTAAAAGGAAATAAGGTCAGTTTCTCAAACTTTCAAGGAAATCACTGTATATGGTTGCTAATTTTCAAAAGAAAACATTAGTGAATAACATAGGGTATCACAGAAGACTGGAAAAGCACTTTACTTGATCCTCCATCTTCAGCCCCATTTTCCAGACCAGGAAGGGAAGACAGGAAGAGATTACCTGTCTCACCAGGGGGTCTCRCAGCAAGTGAAATATGATAATGGACCCCAGTCCCTCTGGCCCAAAGTGCCGGCTCTAAATCTCTAAAATTTGACAAAAACAAGATTAGGATTAAAGATAAGGAAACTCCTGCAGACTCTAAGTGTGAAACCCAGGGTGCTGTTCCTTCCTGTGAGACAGAAGGTCTTTTGRCATCATTCATAGTAGAAAGGAAGTAGCAGATGCACATTGTTGGTCTGAAGTCACTGTGATACCAAACTGAGCACAACACCCTGAGGCAACTGAATTAAAAGAAAGAGCAAGTGATTTGCATGCAGACCCAAGAATTCAGTTCTGCCTCAGACAGGACATGTGACCCTGAGCAAACCATTCACCTGATGCTTGAGTTTATTTTTTAAGTGTAATATAGAGCACAGAGCTTGATTGGATTAGTTCATCTCTGAGGTCTTTCTCAGGTCTGAACTTGCATGAACGTGTGTACTCCTCCAGAGAGAGGACGTGCCTATGGAGGAAGCAAAGCCATAAAGCCAATGTTGAGTAGAGAAAACCACACTTTACCTTCAGATCAAAATGAATATTGGGAGGCTGGGGTTTGGCTCAGTGGTACAACACTCACCTAGTATGTGTGAGGCGCAGGGTTCGATCCTCAGCACCACATAAAAATAAACAAATAAAATAAAGGTATTGTGTCCAACTACAACTAAAAAAATTTAAAATAAATAAAATTAAATTTAAAAAATAAATATTGAGAATTCAGTGAATGTTGCTGAGTGTTCGGTGAGAAGTAAAACTATGGTTTAGCAATAACCCTGTGAACTAATTTTCAATATTTAAATAAATATAATAGTAAAAAGTGTATTATTAAATGTAAAGCCTTTCAGGTGCATGCATCTTACCAGCTACATTTCTTTTTCTTTATACTACAGAAAGGCAATACAAATAAGGTTTTTTTGTTTGTTCTGGATTCTCTCTTTTTCTTTCTCTCTCTCTATTTTCCTCCTGTGCTAGGGATTAAAAATTGCTAGATTAGCATTGAGCTCTTCCCCCAACACAATAATAATAGTCATTTTGTTTGTTTATTTGTTTGCTTGTTTTTCTTTTTTGGTACYGAGGATTGAACCCAGAGCACATTGCCACTGAACTACATCCCAACCCTTTTTATTGTTATTTTGAGATAGGATCTCACTAAATTGCTGAGGCAGGCCTCAAACTTGTAATCCTYAGCCCCCTCAGCTGGGGGTATATCTCCATGGTAGAGTTCTTGCCTAGCATGCATGAAACCCTGGATTCAAGATTCAATCCCCARCACTGCAGCAACAATCAAAAAAGAAGAAAGAAAGTATAACTTGAAGGGATAAAAAGCTTTCATTCTCTTTGTAGGTATAGACAGAAATCTAGATAAGCTAGTCATAAGCTTCTTTCAAAAARTCAACCAATTTCCTAAGTCTGCATCACACTCAAGTATCCCTAATATGCATCAGGGTGAGCAGAAGTTGGGTTGATGGGATAGGCTCTGAACACATCAGCCCATCCATCACTACATGTTTGCTTTAAAGCTTTGCAATTTTAGGAACTTGTGGATGTTTAATTTTCCAAAGCAATATTTCTACTTGTTCTGAGCCTAATTCAAACTAAATGCAGGATGCAAGCAGAATCTCAGGGGCCTCCATGATTCCTCCCACCTCCAATATGTTCTTGTCATTAATGTATTAATTTTATACCTTCAAAGATACTGAAAGTAAATAAGTTCCTGAATTGAAGCAAACTGGAAAGTAAGCAGGTTATTTGATGATCTCCAGAGGCTTTCTGCAGATTTTAGTTATATGCAAACACAAAGGGAAATGGGGAGCTTTTTCAAAACACTCATTGTCTCTGAATCCTTTGCTTTCATATCTTATTCCTAGATCTGGGGTAAAGATAGGCTGGGTTGTGTGAGTGCATAATATTTTTAGTGTTTTGTTGAAGTACAGTTCACATTCAGTAAAAAGCAYAAAACTTAAGTGCATACAGCTAAAACATACAGCTCAAACACTTCTTCCTATATGTACCACTACCCAGGTTAAGACATGGAAAATGTCCATTATCACAGGAAATTCCCTATGTAAATTTTTAATCAGTATCACCCCTCTACGATACCTTCTGCCCCCCAAAGATTTGTCTTGCTAATTCTCAGACTTTGTGTAAATGAAATCATATGGTATTTAYACATAATGCCTATATCTGGGAATCTGGCTTCTTTGGCTCAAAGTTTTATTCATGTTAATGAGTGTGTGAAGAGTTTATTCCCTTTTCTCGAARAATAGATTCCATTGTGTGAACATGACACAATTTGCAGGTTCATTCTCCTGTTGACATATTGGGTAGGTATATTTTAGAAACACTTCCCAAGTAATTCTGTTATGCCTGCAACCTTCAATTCAGAACCACAAATATACAGCAAAAATATAACTCAATCAGCTTAGATTGCTAGTACCTAAAACAAAAAAAAAATGTTAACAGAAAAAACGAAAGAGAACATTTAAGAACAACAACACTTAAGAATGCTTTGGGGCTAGGGATATAGCTCAGCAGTAGAGCACTTTACTAACATTCATGAGGCCCTTGGTTCGACTCCCAGCACTGCAAAAGAAGAAAAGAAAAAARAATGCTTTAATGGTAGTATACATTCAGAGCTTTTTATTGACAAAAGCCAAGTTAGGAAAGTCTCTGAACATGAATTCCTTGCTATCTAGTGTTTTTCTTAAACTGTATGATTATGCAGAACTGTAACATACAACTGCACACAAGGTATACAATACAACTCCAGGAGCTAAAATAGACTCCAATGTAAGTGACATCCCTGAAGTGTGCCATGATCTGGTGATTTCCCYTGTAAAAATGGCTTCTTGGTATTTGCTCCAGGATGATGTTTGCTGATACAGAAGACTGAGCCCTCCTTCCCTCTTGGTTGCATCTTTGAGATCTTTCAGTAAGGGGAAACACCTTCAGTAAGGTGGAAGAGAACACCCATAGTTCAGCCTACTTCTGGTCTGTTGAGGCCAGGAAGGCTCTCTACTCTACAACATTGATAAAGTGGAAAAA